GTCTTTCTTCTATTAAATGGTTTTGGCTTCTTTGTCAAAAATCAAGCATTCATATGTGTGTGGGTTTACTTCTGTGTATTCTATCCAATTCCATTGATCCACCTTTCTGTTTCTATGCCAATACTACCACGCAGTTATTATTATTATTGCTCTGTAGTACAGCTTGAGATCAGGGATGAAGATGCCTCCAGACCATCTGTTGTTGTACAGGATCATTTTGGAAATTCTGGGTTTTTTTGTTTCTCCATATGAAGTTCAGAATTTTTTTCTCAAGGTCTGGAAAGAATTATGTTGGTATTTTGATGGGAATTGCATTGAATCTGTAGATTGCTTTTGGCAGAATAGCCATTTTCACTATGTTAATCCTACTAATCCATGAGCACAGGAGACCTTTCCATCTTCTGATATCTTCTTCAGTTTCTTTCTTCAGAGACTTGAAGTTTTTTCAAACAGGTCTTTCACCTGCCTGGTTAGCGTCACACCAAGGTACTTGATGTTATTAGTGGCTATTGTGAAGGGTGTTCTTTCTCGACCTTTTTGTCTTTGGTATACAGGAGGGCTTCTGACTTTTTGAGTTAATTTTGTATCCAGCCACTTTGCTAAAGGTGTTTATCAGCTGAAGGAGTTCTCCAGTAGAATTTTTGGGGTCAGTCATATATACTATCATATCATCTGTGAATAGTGAAACTTTGACCTCTTCCTTTCCAATTTGTATCCCCTTAATCTCCTTTAGTTGTCTTACTGCTTTAGCTAGGACTTCAAGTACTAAATTGAAGAGATCTAGAGAGAGTGGGCAGCCTTGCCTTGTCCCTGAATTCATTGGGATTGATTTGAGTTTCTCTTCATTGAGTTTGATGTTGGCTATAGGCTTGCTGTATATTGCCTTTACTATGTTTAGGTATATGTCTTGTATCCTTGGTTTCTCCAAGGCTTTAAACATGAATGGATGTTGGATTTTTGTCAAATGTTGTTTCAGGCATTTAAGGAGATGATCATATGGTTTTTCTCCTTCAGTTTGTTTATATGGTGGATCACATTGATGGATTTCCATATATTGAACCACCCTTGCATGCTTGGGCTGAAGCCTACTTAGTCATGGTGGATGATAGCTTTGATGTGTTCTTGGATTCTGTTTGCCAGGATTTTATTGAGTATTTTTGCATCAATGTTCATAAAAGAGATAGGTCTGAAGTTCTCTTTTTTTGTTTTGTCTTTGTGAGGTTTAGGTATCAAGGTGACTGTGGTTTCATAGAATGAATTTGGTAATGTTCCTTCTGTTTCTATTTTGTTGAATAGTTTGAGCAGAATTGGAGTTAGCACTTCTTTGAAGGTCTGGAAGAATTCTGTGTTGAAACCATCTGGCCAAGAGCTTATTTTGAAGGAAGACTGTTCAATTTCCTTGTGGGATATGGGACTATTCAATCTTTCTACCTGATCTTGACTTAATTTTGGTAGATGAAATCTATCAAGAAAATTGTCTGTTTCATTCAGATTTTCAAATTTTGTGGCATATAGGCTTTTGTAGTATGACCTAATAATTGTTTGGATTTCCTCAGTGTTTGTAGCTATGTCCCCCTTTTCATTTCTGATTTTACTGATTTGGATTGTTTCTCTCTACCTTTTAGTATGTTTGGCTAAGTGTTTGTCTATCTTGTTGATTTTCTCAAAGAACCAGCTCTTGGTTTCATTGATTCTTTGAATTGTTTTATTTGATTTTATTGATTGTAGCCCTGAGTTGATTATTTCCAGCCCTCTGCTCCTCTTGTGTGTCTCTGCTTCTTTTTTTTTCTAGGGCTTTCAGTTGGACCATCAAGTTGCTTGTATGTTATGTTACAAATTTCTTCTTGAAGGCACATAGTGCTATGAATTTTCCTCTGAGCACTGCTTTAAATGTGCCCCCAAAATTTGGGTATGTTGTACCTTCATTTACATTGAATTCTAGGAAGTCTTTAATTTCTTTCTTTATTTCTTCCTTAACCGAGTAGCAAGTTGTTCAGTTTCCATGTGCCTGTAGGCTTTTTGTTATTTCCATTGTTTTTGAGGTCCAGCTTTAGTAAATGATGGTCAGATAAAATACAGAGTATTATTTCAATTTTCTTGTATCAGTTAAGGCTTGCTTTGTGACCAACTGTATGGTCTATTTTGGAGAAGGTTCCATGAGGTGCTGAAAAGAAGGTATACTCTTCTGAGTTTGAGTGAAAAGTTCTGTAGACATCTATTAGGTCCATTTGATTTACAGCCCCTGTAACTGCCTTTATTTTCCTATTTGGCTTCTGCCTAGTTGAGCTGTCCCTTGGTGAGAGTGAGGTGTTGAAGTCTCCCAATATAAAGGTGTTGGGATCAATGTGTGATTTAAGCTTTAATAATGTTTCATTTATGAATGTAGGCACTGCTGTGTTTGGGGTATAGATGTTCTGAATTGTGATGTCCTCTTGGTGGATTTTACCTTTGATGGGAATGGAGTGCCCCTCCTGATCTTTTTTGATTAATTTTGGTTGAAAGTCTTTTTTATTAGATATTAGAAAAGCTACCCCAGCTTGTTTTCTGGGACCATTTGCTTGAAAAATCACTTTTCCAGTCCTTTACTCTGAGGTAGTGCTTATCTTTGTTTCATAGGTGTGTTCCTTGGATGCAATAGAATGTTGGATCCTGTTTCCGCAATGATTCTGTTATTTGTGTCTTTTTATTGGGGAGTTGAGTCCATTGATGTTGGTAGATACTAGTGACCATCAAATGTTACTTTCTTTTGATGTGGGGTTGGTGTTGTTGCTGTGTTTCATTGTATTCTTTTGATTTTTTTTTTGTGTGTATTTATCTCTGTCCTATATTTCCTTGGATGTACTTGTTTTCATGGGGTTGGAATTTTCCTTCTAGTAACTTCTGTAGAGTTGGGTTACTGTCTAGATATTGTTTGAATTTGGTTTAGTCATGAAATATTTTTATTTCTCCATCTATATTGATTGAAAGTTTTGATGGGTATAGTAGTCTGGGTTGGCATCTGTGGTCCCTTAAGGTCTGCACGACACCTGCCCAGGCCCTTTTGGCTTTCATAGTTTCTGTTGAGAAATCTGGTGTGATTCTGATAGGTCTACCTTCATATGTTACTTGGCCTTTTTCCCTTGCTGTTTTTAGAATTTTTTCTTTGTTCTGTAGGTTCAGTGTTTTGACTATGACATGAGGAATTTCTTTTCTGGTCTAGTCTATTTGGTGTTCTGTAGGTCTCTTGTATGTTTATGGACATGTCTTTCTTTAAGTAGGGAAAATTTTCTTCTATGATTTTTTTGAAAATATTTTTCAGTCCTTGGAGCCTGGTATGTTTGTTTGTTTGTTTGTTTGTTTGTTTTCCATCTACTCCTATTATTCTTAGATTTTTTTTTTTCATGGTGTCCTTGATTTCTTGGATGTTTTGTGTTTGGAACTTTTCTGATTTTATTTTTTCTTTCAGAGATGTATCAATTTCTGCAAGTGTATTTTCAGCACCTGAGATTTTCTCTTCCATCTCTTGTGTTTTGTTGGTGATGCTTACCTTTGTGGTTCCTGATCTTTTCTCTATGTTCTCCAGCTCCAGGTTTTTCTCTGTTTGTGTGTTCTTTATTGATTCTAATTCTGTTTTCATGTCTTGCACCATTTCCTTCATCTGTTTGAATCTGGAGTCCTGCTTTTCAATGATGGCTTCTATTTTGTTTGTTTGTTTGTTTCTTCTCTATAAGCTGCTAATTGTGCCTCTACTTGTTTGGCTATATTTGCCTGTATTTCTTTGAGAGCTTTGTTTACTTCTTCTTACTTGCCTCCATTTGTGTGGTTATTTCATTGAGAGCTGTGTTCATTTCCTCTTTGTTTGCCTCAATTTGTGTAGCCATTTCTCTGAGGGATTTGTTCGTTTCCTCTTTATGTGCCTCTAATAGCTGGGAAAAGCATAGTTTTAAAGTCATTTTCCTGTGTTCCCAATGAATTGAAGTGTCCATTGATTTGGGGTGTTGCTGTTGAGGCCATGATGTCCTGGTTTTTGTTGGGTGTGTTCTTACGCTGGCCTCTGGCCATTTGCTTATCTGTAACCCTCACTGTTTGTTCCTAGAGTCTGTACTTCAGGTTAGGTCTGTCTTTTTCTGGTTTCTGGAATACTTTTCAGGAAGATGAGAGAGGTTTGAGGGTGTGCGTTGTGGTTTCAGCTGTACCTAAGTGAGGAATGTGACGGTGGTGCTATTCGCAGGTGGTTTTAGTGGGTGCAGTGTGCAGGAGCAGGTTCACTGACTATCACAGTGGCCTAAAGGCCACTGGTATGCAGATCTGTCTGGGTTCCAGGAATTGTTTGCCTGGAATTCACTGGTAGACCCGCAGAGCAGGGGTTTCAGCGTGGGGAACGTTGTCACAAGAATCCCTATATTGCCCACACTACGGGTCTGGGTGGCAAGGATCTGTTGTCTGGTTGCTTGCTTAGAGCGGCCCTGAATCTGGGGTTTTGCAAGCACTCATTTGAAGGCACACTCACTCTCTTGAAGGACCAGTTGGAAAGCACAGGGGTTCTCCTTTTTCTCTACTCTCTGATTTGATCCTGCTGGGGCAAATGTGGGTGTTAGCTAACAGTCATCTCAGTGGTGCTATAGTAGCAGGTCTTGGTATCCACCAGCACTGTGTGCTGTGCTGGATGCCGCCCATGTTGGAGCCTGGCCAGTGCGATCTGTGGCAGGCTCTGCAGGCCCCTTCTGTATCCTTCACCTTCACCAGGGAATGATTATGGTGGCTGGTTCCGGGGGGAGTGTCAGGATAGGGGTGGGTAGGTGGGGGTGGGGACTAAATCTCTTCTGTCCCAGATCCCTAGCCAGGGACTCAGATGCTGTGGCCTGTGGTGGCATCTGCAGGCTGCCTCTCTGTCCTTCCCTTCCACCAGAGAAGGCTTATGGCGGCTGGTTCTTGGGTGAGTGCTAGAAAGGGTTGAGTTGAGTGTCCTCAGTCCCAGATGTTGAGCTGGGGTTTCTTTGCCAGCTCTGGTGCTGAAGCTTATGGCTGCCCGGCTGCCGGTCGCAGGAAAGTCAAGCTCTCATATTTGTAATAAGCACTTCTTTGGCCTTTGTGATAAGCCACCAGGGAGTATTACTACCATTTCACTGGTGAGGAAAACGCCACACAAAGGAACGGAATGCTTGTGTAAAGGGCAGTGGGAGGAAAACAAGGCTAAGAATTCAGGTGTGGTAGTGGCAGCCCATACATGTGAAACCATGATGCTGAACTCCTCATTTTGACCCTTTCAGATCTCATGGGCACCACTGTGGAAGATAGAAATCCTTTACTCTTTCTCTGCGTCATCGAGAGACACTATTTTTATGAAGTAACGCATTTGGTAATTGCCAGGAGAAGACTAGACAGTAGGAGATCCATCTGGAGGGAAAGATCTGAAGATGAACCTTAATAAAAGACAGTGACATTGAAAAATATGACATATATTAACAAATTTGAATTTTTTTTCATTCTGCTTAGGCTTGGTGTAAGGAACTGCCTAGAAAAACAGATACTTCTGCTTTAAATTATGGGGGTCATTAAAATGAGGATGGTGTTCAAAATACTTTGAATCTTTGTGAATGATTTTCTACACTCACATGATGAATGGGTAGCTTTTGTCACACTGATGGGTTATGATGACATTAGTACTACAAGGAAAATGTCAAATGTGCTTTTCATTTTGGTTGCACAACAGAGGTATCTCCTAGGCTCAATTTTTCTGCTCTACAATGGACCTGTTCATTCTTCTCACTGGGATATGTTGAACAAAATTAGTGGGAGTGATTACAGGAAGTAGGAAGACAAGAACAGGAGACAAAAGAATTGTCATTCAGAGATTTTTGAAAATAAAATTGGAGATTTTTACAGAGAATTCAAGTAATGCTTCATTTCATGTCTCCTTCTGCCAAGGATGAAGAAATTCACTCCCCGAAAATCTCTGATTTTGAATGGCTAATGATTTATTACTCTCACTCCATGACACATTTATTCATTTAGTAAGTAAGCATTTACCAAGTACCAGTGAAGGACAAGCTTCTACGTGTCTAGGACAGCCCTTGGAATTAAGTTAAAAAAGGTTAGTACAAAACCAAAATAAGGAGACATATATTATTTATAGGGCACCAAGGAATAAATATTCTGGAGTGAGTCTGCATGGTTAGGAGAACAAACCCTTTCTCACTTGAGACACACACATGAGAAAAACATATTCTCTGAAAAGGAATCATTAAGTTTCTATAAAATTCTCTCAGGGATGGAACATGGCTCAGGTGATAAAAACAAAATACAAGACAAAAGAACAAACAAAAAACAACTTTCTCTGGGCAAACATGAGGCCTGGTGTTAAGATCACCAACACTTCGTCGGTGCCAGGCAGGCATAGTTCCTCACCCAGGATTCTACATGTGACAAACCCTTTGAGGTTGTCTTTGTATTGCAGAGGCCTCGCCATGCCCTCCGGATCATTGCCGCCAACATTAAATAGCTAACATGCACCCCCTGTGCCTCTCCAGTACCAGCTGCCAATCCCAGGGAAAATAATTCCTCCTGTTCAAGGATAGTTTTTACAAAAAAGAAGCAGTGTGAAATTTCCAGAATGGTATTCCTGCACAGTTTCTCTATGCAGAAGATCACCCCCAGCCAACTCATATCAGTGTTAATTCACCCCAACTCTAAAACTGTTCAGATTTTATCTTAACACAGCAGACCCCAACACAGAGATGGTTCAAACGTATCCTCCTGTTTCCAGAGACCTGCCCAAGTGAGCAGTCACTTCATGCCACCTTCATACATTTGCTGTGACATATTTGCAAACCACTGATACTATTATTGTAATATTTGTATTTAAGCCAATGTCCTATCTCCTTGATTACATTCGACCTTATCCTAATAACACCATCTATTTAAAGAAAAATCACAGGGTTAAATGTTCTAACTCCATGTAATACTCATCATACCAGACCAGAGTTCTGAGTTCTCGGTGTTTATGTTTATTTGTTACATTGATGATTTTTTTTTATTTTGTGAATTATTCTTTATTATAATTCTCGTCTTTGCTACTTGACTGAATCCATCCTGATTTCGTATTCTTTATATTCAGTACAAATTTATGTCTTATACACAGTAGCTTTGGCTTAAGTATAAAAGTGAAAAAGACAACGAATCAACCAACCACACACCCAAAGAGACAAACAAACAAACAAACAAAAATTCCAGTAGACCAAGTCCTATTTCTGTTCCTCTCAACATCCATTTTTGAGGCTCTGGTAATCTATTAACTGCTATAATTCAATACATGGAAAGAGTGAACCAGATGCCATCATGTTTAGAGGTTCATTTTGATCTACAGCCCATCAGATCACACTTGTGATATTAGATCACTTACCAAATAAAAAGGAAGAAAAATTTAAGACTACCTCTCATCATGGACCAGAAATTATTTACAATAGTAACCTCTGTCTGATGCTGACTCTTTAAAGTTAAAACGTCAGTTTGATCTTTATAGTACTTTTCTAATATTAGTAAATAGTCAAATGTTACCAAATGATATGAACTAATTAAGAGCTCCAGGAAGAAATAATTTAAATATCAAAAATATTTGTCTTACAGCCCTACTTGTTTTTAATATGATTTTTTTTCCTCCCAAAAGGCCAGGAATCCTGGGTAGAAGAAAGCGTTCCTGGAAACCATGGATGGTTGTCCTCACTACCACTGCTGTTCTGTTGGCTTTGGCACTACTCATCGGTGTTCTCATTTACTTTTTGGCGTATGGTGAGGCACTACTTTATTGTACTACTTTGAAAGCTTGAAGACTGAATGCACACATTTCTAAACCTTAGCATTTTTCTCCAATCATAAAATAAAAATTTTCTTTGAATGAATTTGGGAAATGGTAATCCTTAATGGAAAAAAAAATATTTCTACTGGTCAAAACCTGATGCTGTTCATGAAATAGCATCTTTTGACTAGTACAAGAAGTTTACAAGATATGCTCTTTATGGAGTGATGATATAGATAGATAGATAGATAGATAGATAGATAGATAGATAGATAGATATAGATATAGATAATAAAAATTTATTATGGTCAAAATTTTAACATTGCTATTAACTTATTGTAGTATAGCATTAATTAAAAGTAATTAATTAAATTTATGAATTGTCACCCACCATGAATTACCACCTATAATAGGTAGTAATTGTGTCAGGATACAACATACAACCATGGTGGTTATGAAGATATGTGATAGTAAAATGGTTTGAGGGTGCGGAAGTGGCTACAGCTATTAAATATTTAATTTTTTGTAGTGTACCAATTATATGACTGTTAGTCTATTTAATGTTGCTATAATAAAATTCTTTTAAAAACCAGGATACTACCTCACTCAGAAAGGCAAATGGGACAGACATTGGAAGAGGGAGAAAATAGGGAACAGGACAGGAGCTTACCACAGAGAGCCTCTGAAAGACTGTACCAAGCAGGGTATCGAAGCAGATGCTGAGACTCATAGCCAAACTTTGGGCAGAGTGCAAGGAATCACATGAAAGAAGGGGGAGATATCTGTCTCGGGGAAGACACCTGTGCTCAGATTTTTTGGTTCTGTTGCTCTCCTTGTGGAGCTTCTGTCCTCTCCAGATCTTACTATTTTCCCACTTCTTTCATAAGATTCCCTGCACTCTGCCCAAAGGTTGCCCATAAATCTTATCATCTGCTTTGAAAATCTGCAGGGCAGAGACTTTCAGAGGCCCTCTGTGGCAGGCTCCTGACTTGTTCCCTGTTTTCTCCTTCTTCTGATGTCCATCCTCTTAGTCTTTCTGGATAGGGATTGAGCATTTTAGCCAGAGTTCTCCCTCTTGATTAGTTTCTTTAGGTGTACAGATTTTAGTAGGTTTGTCCTATATTATATGTCTATATGAGTGAATATATACCATGTGTGTCTTTTTGCTTCTGGAATAGCTCACTCAGGATGATCTTTTCCAGTTCCCACCATTTATCCAATCAAGTAGCATTCATGGAGGTAACCTAGAACCCTTGCACAGATGTAGCCCATGACAGTTCAGTCTCTAAGTGGGTTCCATAGTAATGGGAACAGGGACTGTCTCTAACATGAACTGATTGGCCTGCTCTTTGATCCCTCCCCCTGAGGGGGGGCAGCCTTACCAGGCCACAGAGGAAGGCAATGCAGCCACTCCTGATGAGACCTAACAGACTAAGATCATAAGGAAGGAGAGGAAGACCTCCCCTACCAGTGGATGTAGAGAGGGACATGAGTAGAGAAGGTGGAGGAAAGGAAGGATTGGGAGGAGAGGAGAGAGGGAACTACAGGGGGGATACAAAGTAAATAAAGTGTAATTAATTAAAAAAAATTTAAAAAAGAAGGGGGAGATAGAAAGACCTGGAGGTGGCAGGAGCTCCACAAGGAGAGCAACAGAACTGAGAAGTCTGAGCACAGGGGTCTTTTCTGAGACTGATACTCCAATCAAGGACCATTCAGGGAGATAACCTAGAACCCCTGCACAATTGAAGCCCATGGCAGCTCAGTATCCAAGTGGGTTCTCTAGTTGGCTGGCTCTTTGATCACCTCCCCCTGAAGGGGGAAGAGACTTACCAGGCCACAGAAAGGACAATACAGTCACTCCTGATGAAGGCTAGGGTCAGATGGAAGGGAAAGAGGACCTTCCGTATCAGTGGACTTGGAGAAGGGCAATGGAGGAAGTGAGGGAGGGAGGTTGGGATTGGGAGGGAATGAGGAAGAGGGCTACAGCTGGGATAGAAAGTGAATAAACTGTAATTAATATAAAAAATGAATAAATAAAATTTAAAAACCAGGATACCCTATTAATAAAAGAGGCATCAGGTGTCTGACAATAATACAAGTTAGTTTGGGTGACTGCAATAAGAACCATTACAACATGGAAGATGATATTATGAGAAGTGTGTACATTGGGGGCGAGTAATGCTTGAAAAAGAGATCACATGGCAAGACAGGACATGAAATACAAGGAAGAGCCTGACTTTATGAGATTAATCTAATTCTGTGAGAACTGATGTACTCTGTACAAACCTCTGAGCAATCATGATACAGTTAGCTCCTGCTTGCCCCACCTGTGAGAGGACTCATGCCGTTCAGTGCTATGGTACAGATGACCAAGCGTCCAACATAAAAACTGTCAGTATCCCCTACTTCTTTTGCTCAAAGGGATTAGTAGAAACTATCCCATCTCTGCTCTGCCTTTTAGATCAGAAGACTCATTACTACAAGGCCTCCTTCTGGATTCCCAGCATCAGATACAGCTCAGATTTGTCCAAAGAGGAGTCAAAAATTCAGACTGACCTGAAACAAAAAGTCAACAATGAGGTAAATCTATGATTTGCTGCTAGCACCATTGCCACCCTGGAAGCAGGTAAGGTGGAGAGCAATAGGAAAAGACACCTGATATCAGCTCTGGCCTCCACAGGAATCCATGTGCACAAACGATGAGTTTTTCTTTCTGACAAGCGAGTTTGACGAGCCAGTCATAATAAATGATCTTGCAGTAACCATTGTTCTGTTTTCACTGCTCCTGGTCTTGTTAAGAAATAAGTTGATCTAAAATCTTTCGCTAATGGTGAAGTATTCCAAATAATAAAGACAAATGGCACATAATGGCATTCATAGATGTATTTTATTCCAAGTAAATATTTTATACATTTCTTTGGCTAAGTAACTAAGTTTGGAAAAATGCCTGTGAATGCACCCAACTCTCAATCCTTTCTCTGAAGCATCAAACTTAATCTGAAATTGTCTTACCAAAACATAAAAAACTGATTTGTGCATTACACTCAGAAACTAGTATAACTGAATTTCAAGACATTGGATTTTCAGTGGGTAATGGGACTGTGCATGGCATCCTTATACAGAGTATCTCTGGGCCTCCAACTCCAGCTCTTGAAATGCCTGCCTTAATTCAACTCTTTGTGCTGATCGCCTTCAAACACACAGGAAGATTTTCAGATTATAGGAATGACTATATGACAACAGGATTATGTTCAAATGAGCTTCTTTGAGATATATACAAATATCTTCCTTGAGATATAAACAAACATTAAGATAAACGACATTTCTGTGTCATGGCAGGTTTTAAGTAAACATTTTGAAATTTATAAAATTAATATTTAACAAAGTTCTTGTCCCTTATTTTATTTTTCAGATGGATGGGATGTTTCAAAGATCCAGTTTAAAGCATCACTATGTTAAATGCCAAGTTGTCAACTTTTGGTAACCACAGTTAATTTATTCACCTTGTACTATTTAGTTATTCTTCACCTAATTCCTCTGCAGGCAACATCTAACAACCAAAGCTTTACCAAAGAAAAGCTAGCACAGTCTCCTCAGATTGCAATGCTCCTACACAGGATATAGTGGGAGAGTTCTTGAAAAATCATGAAATGTGTTCTACTCTTCTTTTTCATCTTTGCATTTCAGTTAAAGAATCCATAAATCCCTGTTACTTCTGTTGATTTTACTTGCTCCATAGTAGCTATCTTCTAGAAATATTTACAACACGAGAATATAAATATAGGATATAAAAACAAAGTTGTATTTATAATTTTACATCTGTCACTAAGATAATGATCAAGTTTTATAAGCAGAAAGTAATATAAGACTTAACATCTGTGTGATATATAAAGGGGAAAATCATGACAATAAACTGGATGTTTTATTTTCATGAAGATACAAATAACATTTAAGTACTAATAATATGGTATTAATAATAATTACTAGGACATTGCCTCACTTTGGTGTCTTTCTTTTTCAGGCCAAGTAATGATAGTTTGAAAGCAGACATACTGATTAAATTTCAGTTTTTCGGTAACAATGTGGGCACTTTGAAAAGACAAGCTGAAAGCATTTTGGACAAGAAGTTGCAATCCACAGACAGCTTCTTGAAGAGAGACATTTCATCACCTTATCTTAGAGGCAAGAAAGACTTCCTTTTTCTTCTCTCATTAGTAAACACTTTTTGACAGTCTTGAGACTACAGAGAAAGCGTCTTTATTTCACTACAAAATAAAAACATTCTCCTCTAGGTCTCTGAGCAACCATATAATGAACAAGCTGTCACTCAGTGGCAACAAAAATTACCTTCCCTTGCCTGGTATAAAAATAATTATAAAAACTGTATGATTATCCAAATATAAAAGTATTTCCCTTATTAAAACAACCCACAATGACATCTTTTCAATTTAATAACAATGCATGTGATATTTAAAAACAGCCTAACCTACGCTATTGATGCACTAGTCGCTAACTCTCTTTTTTTGACAATATTTTTCTCATCTGACTCTAGAAAGTAAATGTGGTATGATACACACATATATACCACACACACACATACACCACACACAGAGAGATGTTAGATTAACCCAATCTTCCCATAGCACACAGGATAGGTTTGGCCCAGGACATAGAGTGAGCTGAAGAAAAATGCCAAGTCCTGCTAAGATGTATCTCAGTCACAAAAATAAAATAAAATAATAAAATAAAATGAAACTATCTCCCTGTCAACACAGATGTGAAACAGTAGTTGATAAATGTTCAGTATATGAGATTTTACAAAGGTCTTTATAATTCGCAGATAGCTGTTTGCCTCTAAATTAATTTAGAAGCTTTCCTATGTCATCAGAACTTAATGTTGGAAAGCTAACAGCAAGTTACAAGTTACCAGGAAATATTCCCTCATTGCTTCTTCCCCAAAACTGAGAGAGCAAGAGTGATTATGATAAATCAAGAAGACAGTTATACTATAGGTTGTGCCAAAGTCACGAAGAAGAATCAAACAGCTTAAAAGAAAAACTTGGGGTCTCACCAGCTAGAGCAGAGTACACCCTGAATCCAGGAACTGAGCTTTACATGGCAAAGGTAAGACTGCTGAAAGAAAGCCGTAGTTGAAGCACACAGTATGTATGAGATGAAATTTTATATTTACAAATTTGTGTGCATGTGTGCATAGATGCTTACGTGTGTTTGTTGGAGAAGGGTACATCTTATTATGTGTGTTCTATTTTATTTCTTTTTACAACAGACTTTGTTGTAAAAAGTTCCTTGGGTACAGGAAATGTGCCTGCTCTACTCTGTGGTGTACACAAGCACTGAGCTCAGCACTTGGTGGGGGACTGGCTCTTGGCTCTGTGCCAAATGTTTGACCTTTAGCTCTGTAAGATAACTCAGTCCCCTGAACATAGGCAAGATACAAAAGGGGTCTTTAGAAAGTCAATTTCAGACTTGTTCTGTTCTCTTTTTATTTATTTTCTCTAAGATTTCATTACTTGCAACTTTATCCTATTTAGAATTTTCTCATTATTTGAATCTATACATCTCTGTCTTTAATTTGAGGAATTTTCAGCCATCCTTTTTTTTTTTTCAGATGCTCTTTTAAGACCTGTATGTATTTTCCTTACTTCCAGAAAACCACAAGTATCAGTGTCCTGTATAGTATCTCACAGACACCAGAGGGTTTGCTCATTTGGGTTGTTTTATTCTACTTTTCAAGCTGAATAATCCTGCTATTGCCCTCAGCTCCCTGATGCTGTTCCTGTCATCCATCTTCTCTAAGAACATCATCAAGCCAGGCGGTCTGTTCCCACTGCTATCACTGTATTTTGGCTATTTGCTCATTCCTATCATTTTCAATGGTTTTTTAAAAAAGTTATTTCTACTGCTTTCCTGATATTTTCTATTTTTATTTATTACAAGAGAATATATCCTTGGTTGTGACAGCTCTTCAAAATCTGTATCAGTTATTTCTAGCATTGTAAAATATCTCCAAATTATCATTTATTGGTTGTGTTCTCATTCAAATTGCAGACTTCCTATTTTGTTTTGTTTCGGTTTGAATAGAAGTTTGTATATTCTGAACACTATTTGCTTAGAGAATCTTGATCCTATTTATTTTTCTATTTTAGCAAACAGTCAACCTGCTTAAGCTGGAAGCCTAGATTATTGGTTAGTTATGTTATTTCTATGGCAACTCAGGTTTTGATTATTGCAATGCATGAAAAGGCCACAGGAAAAGCATTATGATGAAGTGAGTAGCTGGTCAAAGATTGCCAGTAGAAGCAAGACCCAGACACATTCAAGACCTTGAAGGCCAAGACAGTGAGGAGGAAGAGAGGTTCAGTGTGACACTAGGACATATTAGGAACCCAGCCACCTAGGTCCATCTGGAAAGTCTGCATTTATTGTAAAATCAGGGAAATCATGAGAGGGCTTTATTATTACAGTAAATCTTAAGGACTTTCTATAATTAGCTTTCTAATGGCAATTCCAACTCAATGTCCCTTGAGCCAGACCTACGTGAAAGAATTGACGCTGAAATGCTAGATCTGTTTTCATCCAAATATGCTTAACTGGTTATCACTACACATGTTGGCATGAAGAACAACAGACATGATTTGGGGAGACAGCACAGCTTATGCCATTTTCGGCTTTGTTTAATGAGTAAAAAGTGGTAAAATGACATGTTGAATGCCAGTGGAATCTCAGACAATAGAAAATAAAATCTGTGGGCCAATCGTAAATGCCAGGCTGTGAAGATGCCTTGAATGCCTGTACTACATAGCACCATTCAAGTGAGGCCACAAGGAAAGATTTCTTTGTATGTTGTAGGGCATGTGTAAATGTCCCAACACAACTTTTATTTGACTCTGCTTCAATAAATTGGTATGAGGTTAATTTTCCAAATAAATATCTGTGTATGTCAATGACTTTGCAGTCATGCCAGGATCTTCCTTGAATTTATGTGCAGTAAGAAAATTAATTGATCCTAAAAGCTACAGGATTATTGCTTTTACATTGAGTTTCCTCATTAGTACAGTTTTTTCAAATCTGAGAACTTCGTGTCATGTAGGCATTGTATTTTAAATTATAGTAGTTATGTCTCTGAACAATGACCTAGACCTTTTTTTTTTTTTTCAGAAATGAATGCAGCACAAGCAGAGCATATTCTAAACAGCAGTAAGTCCCAGACTGTCACTGATAAGTTATTAAATCAAAGAATTCAAACTCAAAACACTTTGGCCTTTATCTCTATGTATCCACTTCCTCAAATATCTATGGTATTTCTAAATGGATATGTGAATTATTTTTAACCAATGAAAAAATTGCTAGTAGTTAGAAATGCTTTTATGGATGCTATGGCAATATTTTCTCTTTCAGTTGTAAGATTCACTGATGACTTCTTTAAAAATTTCCTTAAATTTTTCCAAGTTGTTTTTATTTGGTTTAATTTGTTAAAATATAAACTTTTATATAGATTTAAATAAACCCCTTAACTATAATATAGAAAATAATATTTATTCGAGGATTTAAAATATTATGTATGAAATTAATCTGAAACAAACATCAAATATCACTAGAGTAACCTTTTATGCATAACAGGACTCAGAAAATGTGAAAAACTAATTTCAAAGGAAAATTGCTTCAAATACACTAAAGAAGCTGATAACTAGCTTTTAATTATTAATAGTTTAATTACAATAATATGCATATTCAATCAATTTGAATATCCAGCATCCTCATTACAGTCACTGTTAATGTCAATGAATATTTTAAAGGCATGGCACATCCATAAATACCTTCAGGCTTAGCTGTTTGACAAAGACATCCAATCAGGTTTATAACTCGATGGAAGTAAGCATGTTATTTCCTTCTGGCTCCAGATTGCGGCTTGGGGATGGAGTACCCACCCACGGCAAGAATTGCTGATGGCAAACCTGCAGACAAAGCTTCCTGGCCATGGCAAAGCAGCCTGCAGGTGGACGGGATTCACCTCTGTGGCGCTTCTCTCATTGGCTCCCAGTGGCTCCTGACCTCTGCCCACTGCTTTGACAAGTGAGTTCACGCGTTATCCCGAGAGTCCCAGCGTCACTGGGACTTCTCACATTCATATCCAATCATTCTTACCTTCTCATCCATCTTTCTATCTTAACTCCTTGTTGACAGGAGTAGAAAAAAATATCAGTTCCTGGAAAGAAACGCAAAGAATAGATTGCTTTCAACTCCAACTGAAATGTCTTTTGCAGTAATCTCAGTTTTAGAAAGAAGTCAACACAGAAAAAAGACCAAGTATGCTCACCAGTTTCCTGAAATACAGTGACGTTTTCTTTTAGTACCATTCATTGTATCCCAGCCTATAACTCACATCTGATATTCTATTGAATATCATTGGTATATGCTTTTATTCTCTGTGTGACTGTTAAATATTTAACATATGGCACCGTTGAAAAAGAGACATATGATAACCCTAGTGAAATTAAAATGAGATGGGGAAATATCCTGGTTAAAAAGCGCAATGGAAAAGAATTATTTAAAAAAATGTGTAAAATGGAGTGGGCTACAATTGGGATATAAAGCGAATAAATTATAAAAAATTAAAAAAGAAAAAAGAAAGAAAAAGACATGAAATAGGGTTACAAATTTCTTTCTGTGTTTCTGTGTCTTTTTTCTTTCTTTTTTGTCTATGTCTCCTTCTCTATGTACCTGTGAATAAAAATATATAACTGTGCTTGGTGATGGGTATATATGAGTCTCTGCAGAAATATATGTAATTATGTCTAGTATTTCAATTTTTAAAGTTTTTATTATCTGATTTTTTATTTATTACAATTTATTGACTTTGTATCCCAGCTGTAGCCCCTCCCCCAGCCCCTCCCAATCCCACCCTCCTCCCTCATCTCCTCCATGCCCTTCTCCAAGTCCACTGATAAAGGAGGTCCTCCTCCCCTTCCCTCTGACCATAGACCATCAGGTATCATCGGGGCTGGCTGCATTGTCCTCCTCTGTGGCTTGGCAAGGCTGCTCCCCTTCTCAGGGGGAGGTGATCAAAGAGACAGCCACTGAGTTAATGTCAAAGACAGCCCCTGTTCCCCTTACTATGTTTGTATAATAAAATACCAGTAATATGCTGCTTCCTTTAAAAAAAATGCATTCTTATTCTCAAAGAGAATAGCTAAGCCTACTTTGTAACAGAATCTTTTTTTATCGCCGAGAAAGCAAAAGGTCAAGGTCAGGATGGGAAGGCCTAAAAACGAGATGGTGGGAAAAGCCAAATCCTTTAAAGGATGTGCCATTCTCCCGCACTTACGTCTCATTGCCCATCCAGAATCCTGGGCAACTCTAGACCAGAAATGAACTTGTTCTTCTTTTCATTTGTGATCAGTTACAAAAACCCCAAACTGTGGACAGTCAGCTTTGGAACAACCTTAAGCCGTCCACTGACGACTCGGAGGGTGGAATCCATCATCATTCACGAGAACTATGCAGCGCACAAACACGATGACGATATCGCTGTGGTCAAGCTCTCCAGCCCCATCCAGTATTCTGAAAATGTACGCAGAGTCTGTCTCCCTGATGCTACTTTTCAGGTCTTGCCAAAGAGCAAAGTGTTTGTCACTGGATGGGGAGCACTGAAAGCGAATGGTGAGTATCTCAAGAGAAACAAGGACACCAACGGTGCAAACCTGTGCTGCTTCTGCATGGAAGCCCCCAAATAAATATGAAATTACAAAGTATAAATCAAGATAGTCCCATGAAAATCAAAACAGAAATTTTTAAAATTATGAAAACTTCTGCTATAAATAGTATCCATACACTTTTTTTGGCTTTAGTTTATGCCTGACTTTGCAGGGTTTTTTCTCATTAATTAATTAATTTATTCATCCCAATTGCAGATCACAGCCCCTGCCTTCTCTCCTCTCACCCGCTTCTCCCTTCCCCCGTTCGCTTCAGAAAAGGAAAGCCCCTCTGCCACCCTCCCCACCCCAGCACATCAAGTCTCATCGGGATGAAGCAGATCCCCTTCCAACGAGGCCAGATAAGGCAGCCCAGCTAGGGGAAAGTGATCCAAAAGCAGGCAACAGAGTCCATATCAGAGACGGCCCTGTTCCCACTTGATGGGGAACCCTCATGAAGAGCAAGCTTCCCATCAGATACATATGTGCAGGGGACCGAGGTCCAGTCAATGCATGCTCTTTGGTTAGTACTTCAGTCTCTGTGAGTCCACAGGAGCCTAGGTTAGTTGGCTCTGTTGGTCTTGTGGAATTGTTGTCCACTCCAGATCTCTCTATCCTCCCATCTTTTCCACAAGACTACCCCACCGCTGTCTCTACATCTGTTCCTATCTGCTATTGGGTGGAGCCTTTCAGAAGGCAGTTATTTTAGACTTCTGTCTGCAAGTGTAACAGAACACCATTAATAGTGTCAGGGGCTGGCACTCTCCCATGGAGTGGGCCTCAAGTTGGACCAGTCATTGTTTGGCCATTCCCTCAATCTCTGCTCCATCTTTATCCCTGCACACCTTGTAGGAAGGATAAATTTTGGGTAAAAGGTTTTGTGGGTGGGTTGGTGTTCCCAGCCCCTCACTGGAAGTCTTACCTGGCTCTGGGAGGTGACCCTTCAGTCTTTATTTCCCTCGCTGCCTGGAGCCTCAGCTAGAGTCACCCACATATTCCCCCTGGAGCCTACCCTGCTGCAGGCCTCTAGCCTGTCCCAGAGATGCCCCTCATAGGTTTCCCTTCTCCCTCCCAGCCCACTCACCCCCACTGCTCTCCCCATACCTGATACCTGCCCTCATTCCCCTCCCCCCACCTTTCCCACCCAGTTCTCTCTTTTCATCCACTTCCACTGTCAGATTTATTTCCCCTTCTAAGTGAGACTCAAACATCCCCACTTGGGCCCTTCTTGTTACTTAGCTGCTCTGGGTTTGTGGATTATAGGATGGTTATCCTGTACTATATGGCTAATATCCACTTATAAGTGAGTACATACCAGGTGTGTCTTTCTGGGTCTGGGTTTCCTCACTCAGGGTGAGCTTTTCCAGATCCATCCATTTGCCTGTAAATTTCATGCTGTTATTATTTTTAATAGCTGCATACAGCATCTTTTCAGTGCATGCTCAGGAGTGGCATAGCTGGATCCTGAGGTAGAACTATTCCCAGTTTTCTGAGAAAGCACCAGATTTCTAACATAGTTGTGCAAGTTTGCACTTCCACCACCAATGGAGGTGTGTTCCCCTTGCTTCACATCCTTGCCAGCATTAGGTCTGACTTGAGTTTTTGATCTGAGCCATTCTGATGGGTATAAAATGGAATCTCGGGGTTGTTTTGATTTGCATTTTCCTGATGACTAAGGACAGTGAACATTTCTTTAAGTGCTTCTCGGCCATTAGAGATTCCTCTGTTGTGAATTCTCCATTTAGCTCTGTACTCCATTTTTAATTGGATTATTTGGTTTGTTGGAGTTTAATTCCTTGAATTCTTTATATATTTTGCATATTAGCCCTCTGTTGGATGTAGGGTTGGTGAAGATCTCTTCCTATTCTGTAGGCTGCTGTTTTGTTCTATTGACAGTGTCCCTTGCCTTATAGAAGATTTTCATTTCATGAGGTCTCATTTATTATCTTTGATCTTAAGAGCCTGAACTGTTGGTGTTCCGTGTCCTTTGTAAAATGATGCTTGTGAAAGGATTCTGGGTAGTTGCCAGATGATGATAAATACCTTGTGTTTAAACTGGCATTGTTTATGTGATTATTTAGCTGGGTGATCGGGGCAAGACTCTTAACCAGGTGATATTCAATTTTCTTAACTGAAAATCCAGAATACTCATATCTATATCTTTGACAGTTTTTGCAGGAATGAAATAGATGATACCAATAAATGTACCAAATATGGTATCTATACACAGAAGTCTCCCCAAAGTGTAACTGATTCTGGAACACTGTCATTAGTTCCAAATTCTTCAACTTTAGGTTGAGAGTTTAAGCTTTAGGATGAGTTGTCAGAATAAAAAGTCAACTTTAGGATGAGTGTTTCAACTTTAGGATGAGTTGTCAGAATAAAAAGTCTTCCAACAGTTCCTCATCTGTTCATTGCTTCCTTTTATAGGCCCCTTTCCCAATTCTCTACAAGAGGTTGAAATAGAAATCATAAGTAATGATGTATGCAACCAAGTTAATGTATATGGCGGTGCTGTATCATCAGGAATGATATGCGCTGGATTCTTGACAGGAAAACTAGACGCCTGTGAGGTAAGTACACTGTAATCCACAAAAATGTCTCCAGTCGATAGGGATGAAATCACTGACCATAGGGTAATGTCATTTAGCACAAATCCATGAAATTAACTTAAGCAGGAAAGAGGAGATATGAAAAATGACTGAATAACACCAAAACACATAACCTCCATGAAGCATCTTACTGAATGGAGCTATCTCAACAAGGTTTCCATTTGCAAATCAGAACTCTACTGAATGGAGCTATCTCAACAAGGTTTCCATTTGCAAATCAGAACTCTTAGTAGAGACCAGTAATTCAGATGGGTAGTAGAAAGCAATCATTAAGCCACAGAACCAAGGCTCAGTAGTCGTAACTGAACTTTGAATATCTACTTCTACTAACTTTAAGCCACAGGGAGACAAGAGCTACTGACATTTGACACTGAATAGCTAATGCCCAAATAGAATTACACTATTAGGAAAAACAATCTGCATTCATTCCTATGCCTGTAGTATGTCACAGATTATTTTTCAGATTACACAAACAACATTTTCTCCATAGTTACAACACATTAATTTTAAGCATTTAAGCACAGTATCAATTCTAAAGTATGGTTATTTGAAGGATTAAAAATAACTACGAAATTCAAGATGTGACCTATATAGCATTGTGACTTGGCACAAAAACATAATGACTCCTTGAGAAATTAATACTGGCTCTGATAATTTGGCATATGTGTGACATTTATTGTATGCAAATGTTGACCTGTCATTGGCTGTCATGTGATAGTAAGAAATATTCATTAACTTATTTATTCAACATTTTGGGCACCAAAGTTTACTACAGACATTACTGAGGGAAACTAACATTTTTTAAATTTTTTTTATTTTTATTTTATTTTATTTTTTTAATATTAGTTACAGTTTATTAACTTTGTATCCCAGCTGTAGCTCTCACCTTCATTCCCTCTCAATCCCATACTCCCTGCCCCTTTCCAAGTCCACAGATAGGGGAGGTCTTCCTCGCCTTCCATCTGACCCTAGCTTATCAGGCTTCTTCAGGACTGGTTGCAATGTCCTCCACTGTGGCCTAGCAAGGCTGCCCCTCTCTCTGGGGAAGGGGAGTTCAAAGAACCAGCCATTCCCAGATGTCCATCAATGGAGGAATGAATACAGAATTATGGTACTTTTACACAATGAAATACTACTCAGCAATTTAAAACAAGGAAATTATAAAATTTGCAGGCAAATGGTGGGATCTAGAAAAGATCATTCTGAGTGAGATATCCCAGAAGCAGAAAGACATACACAGTATATACTCAATATACTAAAACATGTACACCTAAAGAAGATAAACAAGAAAGAGGACCCTGGGTAAGATGATCACTTAGAAAGACAAATGGGATGGACATTGGAAGAAGGAGAAAACAAATAACAGGACAAGAGCCTACCACAGAGGGTCCCTGAAAGACTCTACCTAACAGTGTATCAAAGCAGGTGCTGAGACTTATAACCAAACCTTGGGCAGAGTGCAGGGAATCATATGAAAGAAGGAGGAGTTAGTATGACCTGGAGAGGATAGGAGCTCCACAAGGACCTAATATATCTGGGCACAGCGGTCTTTTATGAGACTGTATCTCCAACCAAGGACCATGTATGGATATAACCTAGAACCCCTGTTCAGATGTAACATTTTTAAAAAATGCAATGATCTGATAATCTCATTAGGGAACAGGTTACGGAAACAAAAGGAGAAAGTCAGGATTCAGCTACACATTCTAGAATGCAAGGGAATCCTTTCATTCACTCTCTGAGAAGGAGAATCAACATTTATTTCCACATACAACAGAATCACATGGCTTAGAGAATAAACATGATCTACACAGGAGTTGACTTTCTCGTCTCAATGGCTCGTGCTCCCTTATTGCCTTTTACCATTAGTACAGTAAGAGCATGCGGATCTCAGTTATAATGGAGATCTCAGGGAAGGGACCTGGGGAGGATCCCCTTCAGTGGCTTCCATGTTCACACTGTGCACCAGACTCTGGAAGAGACAAAGAAGAACTGGAAGAATGTAGAAAGGAAGGGGCTTCAAAGCTGCACCAGAAGCTTCTGCCTCCTTCACCCTGCATTGTTTCCCTCTAAGAACCTGTAATAGGCTATCACAGGGTATGTTTTCTGGAAAGGATACAGTCATTACTTAAGATAAACTTTAAACCTTTTGTAGAAACCTTAGACTAAAGAAAACTGAGGAGTCCTCACGATTTAGAAACTTTAAGTGTGTTTATTGGGAATCAATTGACAGAACATTCCAGAACACCCTTGTACTGATGAGTGAGAGTGCGACAGGGTGAGAAACTAATTTGAAACAAGACATCACTTCTAGCTAATGGAGTCAAATAAGGCATCATGATGGGGGCGGAGCTCTCAAGTTAGTTCCAAGTATGAATTTGTTAGACAGTCGGGTGTCAGTTAGCTCTCATTTCTGTCACTTTTTATTTATTGAATTGACAACATGTTTTCTTTTTTTCTCTTTTCTAGGGTGATTCTGGGGGGCCTCTGGTTATGTTACATGATAGCAGTATCTGGTATCTTCTCGGAATTGTTAGTTGGGGAATAGACTGTGGAAAAGAAAACAAGCCCGGAATTTACACCAGAGTGACTCATTATAGGAACTGGATTAAATCTAAAACTAACATCTAATGCAACAGTCACCCCTTTATCCAACCTGGCATGTCACACAGGGCCTCTGGCAAATTGTACACAGTATTCAGTCTTTGTTGCCATGTTGCTTTGTCATCTAGTTCAAGATGCAAATGAGTATGCCTCCTTCCTCTTAAGTCAGAAGAGGACAGACTTTTTGTTTTTTCACATCAATGGAAGGGTCCCACTGACTATGAATGCAAAAGATGCTGTCTGCTTCAGAAAGATTGAACAGTCTGCAAAGCATTTGACTACCTCCCTGCTCACCTCTATTCTCCTACTTCATACTTTTTTCAACTTACAGTAATGTGGAAGTTGAATAAATGCTAATTGTCCAGCCACCATTTTTTTTTCTCAAGAGATGCCTTCGTTCTCTGATGCCGCCATAGATTTTGTCTTCTTCATCAAAAGTCCTCATTGGCAGTTTGTTGCTATACTGACGAGATAGACCAAATTAATGAGTCTAAGGCAATGGTGACAAAATGATGGAGGAAGCACTAGACATGAAGCTAAGACCTCGGAGGTTGTGAAGAGCAATACTATTCCCTTTCATCTTCAGATAAGCATTAAGCTTTTCTCTGAAACTTTTTATTTATATTTGTGCATATTATTTTTTCCTTTAGACAACTTAGCTGATGTATATTTGGAAGCAGCGTACCCACCATGTGTTTTTTAACATAACATAAAAGAAGAAATATAGATATTTACTTGTATACATACATTTCTATACTTGGAAATAAAAGGTTATGTTTATTATCCTTTTTATTAATGAAATCTTAATGTGCAAGAATCTAAGAAGGTTACTTTCAGTTCCATCTCTAAAATGAGAGGTGTTTCAATACTTGTATAAATTTATTTTTCAATTGTATTTTGTTTTATCTTAATGTGTTTTATTAAACATGTTTATTTTTTAACCATATTTAGAATATTAAATATGAATAGGATGGGAAGTCAGTATAAGTTAATTCCAAAAGTATAAACACCTGACATGTGAAACTAAAGTACCAGCTGATATTCACAAAATGTTTGATACAAGATGTTTGTCAAGATGCTGTTGTGTGAAATTTGAATTTACTGTTAAGTAACAGGTATACTCTGCAATAGAATATTTATTTAAAACATTCAAATAACTAGGAGAGCATCTCTAGAATACCTTAATTTCATTGATGAAACTGTCATTTCCATATGTACTTATTTTCACATTTTGCAATATCTCATGTGAGTATAGAGTAGTATCAAACCAAACTCAGACTTATTCTGTGTACATCTAAATCTTTATCCTCTTTTTAAAAGTGATGAGCTTTCTCCTGTGATAAGGTTTTCACTGAGGTTTTGTATCAAGTATGAGTCTCACCTAACATGTTACACTGTACATATTGAATGATATTATGATAATAAATGCAACGTTCTCTCTGAGTTGTTTCTGCGAGTGATTGCTCAACTTCCATGTTGCTGACACTTTGTCACTGGCGCTTTTCTTTCGTTTTTTGTTTGGGAGAGGAGGGAGACCATCACGGACATTCTAGGCCACTTGGTAACATTCCTTACTTCTATAAAGGAAATGCCTATAGAATCCAGTTCCCCACCACTCTTCTGCCAAGTTGTGGCAATCAAAACTGACTACAGTTCATGCAATATGCTTCCAGTAGAACAAGACCACCTTCAGTTAAGAACAGCTACGATGAGACCATTACTGAAAAAGTCATGCATTTAAATTCTAGGAGTGTCTATGGTCCCAGCACATCTACATAATCATACATCTCTTGGAAACTGAACTTGTCTGAAGGAAATTGAAAGGCGATCCATTTGCAAATAAACCATAGAAAGGAGATAGAGAGGTACAAATAGTGGAATTTCCTCTAAGACTCTAAGAGTAGCTTCTGTAAGTGTGTTTTCAGATCAAATACATAATTCTCACTTGAAATGGCATTTATGAATTCAGCTGAGGCAGTAATGCAGAGTAGAGAAACTTACAAAGTATCACAAAGCCCTAAAAGATACTCTATCTAGCATGGTAGTTACAACATAGATTTAAGTTAATTTTTAAAATTAAACTTTCATTTCCTCATTTGGACTAATCATGTGTAAGCAAAAACAGCAGTCAAGTGCGACTAATGGCTACTATTCTTGCCTCATAGATTATATGACATGTTTGTCATCACAGCCATGATAAAACAAACCTCTACTATCCAAGGAAGCACCTATATAATCACTTATTCTAACAAATTTCTTGAGTCTATCATAAACAAAAATGTCACAGATATGTTAAATTCTACAGTTATGAGGAATTTATTATGAAGTCCATGAGTGTCAAGAGTTGGCATTCTGCAGGTCCAAGGACTGATTTTCTAAGTTTGTCTTTAGCCTTTTTAGGAGCCATTCATTGCCCAACTGTGTGTGTGAACCAACATCTTTGTGACTATTCGGTAGATTCTTTTAGAGCGTACTAACAAATCATTAGCTTCCATGAACCGAAAAGTTAAGAATGTCATCATAGGCTTACAATGTCTGAGGCCCACAGCAGTATTCCCTGCTTTGTTATAACTAGTTACTTAATAGTTCCACCAAAATATTAAAATGTATTTTAATTTATATTATTCTCTTTATTTTTTAATAAATAAATAAATGTTATTTAATTAAATTTATTAAATTTTATTTTATTTTATTTATAAAAAATAAAAAGAAATTTTATTTTAATTAATAAAAAGAAAAAATGAAACCAAGAGCTGGTTCTTTGAGAAAATAAAAAAGATATACAAACCCTTAGCTAAGCTAACTGAAAGGCAGAGGGAGAACACAAGAATACATCAAACACATCATCCACCAAATTAACAAAATCAGAAACAAAAAGGAGGACATAAGAACAGACAATGAGGAAATCCATAAAAAACAAGTCATACTTGAAAAGACTATATTCCAAAAAATTGGAAAATCTAAAGGAAATGGACAATTCTCTGGATAGATTTCACTTACCAAATTTAAATCCAAATCAGGTAACCATTTTAAACAGTCATCACATAGAAACAGTCATCAAAAGCAACAGAACACCAACAGCACAGACTCTAAGAGCAACAATCAATAAATGGGACCTCATGAAATTGAAAAGCTTCTGTAAAGCAAAGGACACCGTCATCAAAACAAAGCGACTGCCTACAGATTGGGAAAGAATCATCACCAACCCTCTATCTGACAGAGGACTCATATCCAATATATATAAAGAACTAAACAAGCTGAAAAGCAACAAACCAAGTAATCCACTTAAAAAATGGGGAACAGAGCTAAAGAGAGAATTCTCTGCAGAGGAATATCGAATGGCAGAGAAGCACTTAAAGAAATGCTCAACCTCATTAGCCATTAGGGAAATGCAAATCAAAAGAACCCTGAGATTTCACCTTACACCCATCAGAATGGCCAAGATGAAAATCTCAAGGGACAACACATGCTGGAGAGGTTGTGGAGAAAGGGGAACCCTTCTCCACTGCTGGTGGGAATGTAAACTGGTACAACCACTCTGGAAATCAATCTGGCGCTTTCTCAGACAACTAGGAATAGCGCTTCCTCAAGATCCAGCCATACCACTCCTAGGCATATACCCAAAAGAGGCGCAAGTACACAACAAGGACATTTGTTCAACCATGTTTGTAGCAGCTTTATTTGTAATAGCCAGAAGCTGGAAACAACCCAGATGCCCCTCAACTGAAGAATGGATGCAGAAACTGTGGTACATCTATACAATGGAGTATTACTCAGCAATGAAAAATAAGGAAATCATGAAATTTGCAGGTAAATGGTGGGACCTGGAAAGGATCATCCTGAGTGAGTTGACCCAGAAGCAAAAAGACACACACGGTATATACTCACTCATATAAACATACAATATAGAATAAACCCACTAAAAGATGTACATCTAAACAAACTAAGCAAAAGAGAGGACCCTAACTAAAATGTTCAATCCCCATCCTGAAAGGCAAAGAGGATGGACATCAGAAGAAAACGAAAATAGGAAACAACCTCGGAACCCGCTACAGAGGGCCTCTGAAAGCCAGAAGAAAACAGGAAACAACCTTGAAACCTGCCACAGAGGGCCTCTGAAAGCTTCTGCAGTATAGACTGTCAAAGCAGATGCTGAGCCTGATGGCCAACTGATGGGCAGAGTGAATGGAATTCTATGTAAGAAGTGGGAAATAGTAAGAGCTGGAGGGAACGGGAACTCCACAAGCAGAGCAACAGAACAAGATAATTTGAACACAGGGAACTTCCCAGAGACTCATACTCCAACCAAGGACTATTTGTGGAGATGACCTGGAACCCCTGCACAGGTGTAGCCCATGTCAGTTCAGTGTCCAAGTGGGTTCCATAGAAATGGGAAGAGGGACTGCCTCTGACATAATCTGATTGGCCTGCTGGTTGATCACTTCCCCCTGAGGGGGGAGCAGCCTTACCAGGCCACAGTAGAGGACAATGCAGCCACTTTTGATGAGAACTGATAGACTAAGATCAGAAAGAAGGAGAGGAGGACCTCCCCTATCAGTGGACTTGGGGAGTGGCATGCATGCAGAAAGGGGAGGGAGGGTGGGATCGGCAGGGGAGGAGGGAGGGGCTCATGGGGGGATACAAAATGAATAAAGTGTAATTAATAAAAAAAAAATAAAAGATTTAAAAAAAAAAGCCTCCCAACCTAAAAAAAGCACAGGTCCAGATGGTCTTAGAGCAGAATTCTTCCAGACATTTAAAGAAGAGCTGATCCCAATATTCCTCAAACTATTCCACAAAATAGAAACTGAAGGAACATTGCCAAACTCATTCTACAAAGCCACACTCACCCTGATACCTAAACCACACAAACACTCAACAAAGAACTAGAATTTCAGACCAATTTCACTCATAAACATCGATGCTAAAATACTAAATAAAATACTCACAAACCGAATCCAAGAACACATAAAATACATTATCCACCATGATCAAATAAGCTTCATCCAAGGAATACAGGGATGGTT